TGTATATATTGCAAATATTAACCATCAATAAGAAGCACAATTTACTAATACGATCTCAAATTAAGAATTTATTAATGTGTGGTAGACATTAGTTAATGGGCAGACAAATTCTAAAGTAATAAATTGAGTAAAAATTGATTTTTGCCATCACTACAACCAAGCGTCTTAAACCCCTGCTGTATCTATACTATATAACCATACTTATATCTACATCTATATCTACATTTAACTCTACTTGATCAATCATCTTGATTATTTTTTGGTCAATCATCTTGAAATTAAATATTTAATGTATGCCTATCTTGTTTATGTTAAATGTTGATGACACAAGAATTAAGAGGTTTTTGCCCATGCTTCTAATTTATCCACAAACTATATAGTTCAACAAACATTTGGGTTTGGGGGTCATTTTTCCAACTCGATAGTTTGTAGCTTTCATTTGCTCTGTTTGGAAATTCTTAAAATATAGCTATGAATTCTTAATGTTCTAATAGTCAAAACTCAGGAACAAATATTTCACTATTAATAATTATAACAGGGCGCCTGGGTGGCTCAGTTGGTTAAGCGACTGCCTTCGGCTCAGGTCATGATCCTGGAGTCCTGGGATCGAGTCCCGCATCGGGCTTCCTGCTCAGCAGGGAGTCTGCTTCTCCCTCTGACCCTCCCCCCTCTCATGCTCTCTCTCTATCTCATTCTCTCTCTCAAATAAATAAATAAAATCTTTAAAAAAAATAATTATAACAACAAAAGCTAACCTTTCCTGAGTATTTACTACTTTCAGGCATTATTATCTCATTGAATCCTCACAACAAACCTAGAGGGAGATACTATTATTATTCCTTTTTTACAGAGAAAGAAACCAAGGCACAGAGATTAGTTAACTTAAAATGTTCATATAACAAGTAAGAGACAGAGTCTGGATTCAAAACTATGCAGCCTGACTCTAGACTTCATGCTCTTTTTTTTTTTTTTTGAAGTAGGCTCCATGACCAGTGTGGAGCCCAACGCAGGGCCCAAACTCACAACCCTGAGATCAAAACCTGAGCTGAGATCAAGAGTCAGATGCTTAACTGACTGAGCCACCCAGGCGCCCCTAGACTTCATGCTCTTAACCATTATGCTAACATAGTTTCTATTTCTGCTATTAGTTTTACATAAAATGGGTAAATTACCTTCTTAAAATAGGAAAGTGAGAAACAAGACTATTATAGATACATATCATTAGAACTTCAGAGATGTGGCACAATAGCTGGTGCTTAGTTTCTCTGAGAGGTGTCCCTGTCCTCACAGAGCTTATGGAATTAGGGAATCAGAACATACATCCAAAATGTATGATAGTACCCTTGGGATAGGATGGGTACAAATGAGGAAGACATACAGGACTGGCTACAAAAGTTGAGAGGAGGAACTAATTTCTAAGGATTGAGTCAGTATAAAAGGTTTGATGGAAGAGATGGGTCTGAAAAGAGGAATAAAATTGGTAGGTGGAAGCAAAGAGCAAAAGTGGTATAAGCAAGGAGAACTACCTGAGCAAAATTATGGATGAAGTACCAAGAAAAGGTCCCATTGTTTAAATGTTTCATGTATGGAGGTAATAAGCGATGAGGCTGGAAAACTAAGGATAATATTTGGGAGGTAAGTGAATGCCAGGTTAAGGAATTAGGATTTTATCCTCTATTTTATTTATTTACTTATTTTTTGAAGTAAGCTTTACACCCAATGTGGGGCTTGAACTCATGACCCTGAGATCAAGAGTCATGTGCCTTACTGATTGAGCCAGCTGGGCACTCCAAGATATTATCCTTTAGACCTGGCCTGTTCAATACAGCAGTCACTAGTTAGATGTGGCTATGGAACACTTAAGATGTGGCAAGTCCGAATTGAGATGAGCTATACAGGTAAAATACACTAAATCTTTAGTATAAAAAAAACAATGTAAAATGCCTCATTAATAATTTCTACATTGATTATATTTTGAAATGATCATACTCTGAATATATTGGGTTAAGTGAAATGTATTATTAAAACTCATTTCACCTGTTTCTTTTTACTTCCCTAATGTGGCTACTGGGAAATTTAAAATCATATATGTGGTTTGTATTTGTGGCTTACATATTTCTACTGGGCAATAATGCTCTAGAAAATGAAAAATGAAGACAAATGAGCAGGAATTCATGTAAAAAGTGTTTTAAGAAGTTTATTCTGGTATAAATAAATTCAGATTGTAAGACAACTGATCTGGTTTTTCAATAAGCCAATGGCAGGAAAAGAAAAAACAAAACCAAGATAGTAGTGAAGTGGGATTGCTACAGCTTAAAAAATACTAAAGAGACAGAACAGTCAAATGCAACATGTAGACTTTGTTTGGATCATGATTCAAGCAAATGAACCATAAAAAGACATTTCTGAGACAACTAAGGAAATAAAGACTAGATACTGTCGATGAGTTATTGATCATTTCAGCAGAATAATGACATTATGGAGATGAAAGAAAAAGTTGCAAACTAAAGTATGCTTTATTGATGTGAGCTAAAGTATGTCGAGATGAAATGACTGAACGCTTGGCAACTGCTGGGGGAAAAAGGGTGTACCTCTTACTATCGAAACCTAAATAAATACATACACACAGCACACACACACAAATATGAAAATATGAATTGAGAAAACTGAGGTACTGTGATCAGACTTTTCAGAATCTGGCTAAAAAAAGGGAATAAAAGAGAAAACACAGTCAAAGTAATGTGCTCTTGCTGTAAAAACTGGATGATCTGAGATTAACTATGAGGAAGGACTAAGCAGTGGAAAAGGGGGTATTTGAGGGCTAAAAAGTTCAAGGGGGTGTCATTCTGTATAGGAGGTATTCAGAACAACACTTAATTCTGTCACACATTTTCTTAGGGCCACACAGAAGGTATGAAGGTATGTTGGAACCAGGACTAAAATCAGATCCTCTGACTTAGCATAACGCTCTTTTGTGCCTAATTTTAAACATGACAAAATTCTATGGAGAGCCCAATTTATACTTTCTGCTTTAGATTTTCTTTCTTATGTCATTTAGTTATTCTTTATGCCATCATTAAATAATTGACCATATTAAAATATTTTATTTAATGTACTTAGGTTTATCTTGACTGCTTCTCAAACTGATATTTGGTAGAAGAAAGGTAAAAAAGAAGGAAAGCAAATTTAAGCAGTAATAACAACAGAGCTATCTTAACATCTCCAAGTGAAATTTAAATCATGCTGCCAAAACACAAGATGCAGTTTCACCTCTGGGAACAATGCAAGGAAGAGAGGTCAACGTAAGCCAAGTAGTATAGAGAAGAGATAATAAAAGGGAACAACAGAAGGAGAGAGGCAAGAAGGAAAAAACTAACAAAAAACCTAACAGTGCCCATTTGCAGAGCCTAGCAAGTGCCTCAAAGCAGTGGTTTATTCTTTTTCCGTAAGCTTGGAAAGATTGCCTGGCTTCCCTGGTAATATGCACACTTACTAAGAGTCCTGTTCTGCTGCGATACAATTAGCTATTTGGCCTTGATCCTTGGTTTGCTTCCTCATCTACCAAACGGGAATATTAACACCTGCCTTACTAGTTTCACTGGATTGAAGTGAAAGTGAAGCAAGTTGGTAAGTATGAAAGGACTTTGAAAAGTTATCGGTTGCTAGGATCATCTATAAGAAATAATTAAGTTGAACATCTTTTCCAGAAAAAACTATTAAAACTGAAAAAAAAAAAACCCACCTTCAATCGGTATGTTTTCTCTTAATTTTCGAATGAGAACATTCTAAGGGAAGTGTAAAGACGAGGGAGGAATGAGATCTCATCCTTCACAGGCTCCTACCCCACCGCTCCCTCACCCTCCTCCCTAGCCCGAGAACTGTCACCAACCACCAAAGGACTGGGAGCAGGGTAGGGTAAGCGGAGGAAGCCCGGGGCGAAGAGGGGGTGGTGCTCGCTGAGGGAGAGGAGAGACGCCACAGTCTCCGACTTGGGACTAGAGGGAGTTAGAATGAGGCAAAGGACACCTTTTTCCAAAGCTCGGCCACTTACTGCTTGTAACTCCTTGGAAGCGAAGACTGGTTACTATAGCGACCGCGTCCAGGAGGGCGGAGCGCCCCTTGCGTTCGGTGCCTCGGCCACAAGGGCTCGACTAGAAACGTGGTCACGTCAGGGCAATGACTTCCGGCGGAAGGAGAAGCCGGTTCCGGGTTTTGGCCGACTTCAGGCGAGGAGTGGGTTCTGAGGTTTCTAGAAGTTTGGTAAGTTCGATATCGAGTAAGGCCAGGAGAGGGTAACCGCCTGTGGCTGGGCGGTACAGCTGAAATGAATACAGTGGATTCCTAAATCTCGATTTTGAGCCCCCCTCCCCCACCGCGCGCCTTGAATTTCACAGCTGTGGGAAGAGGTTGCTTGATTTCTGGGGCTCCTGGCGAGGTCTCTTCGGTAGTCTAGAGGGCTGGAGTATCCTCCTCTGAGCAGTTTCAGGAGCTCTTTCTTTGTAAACGCCGGTAACCGAGGGACTCATGCTGTCTACCTGCCCGAACTGTTTCCCGTATTATTCTTTTAAGGTAATCTGGAAGAAATGTGAACTGGAAACGCTAAGAGGGAATGCTCCCAAATTCATTTTAATTCTTTGCCGTTTTGTTTTGCTTTCAACATTTTTTTAATTCTGTAAACATTAAATTCCTCTATTGTGTTTGGTGAGTATTTACTATGTGCGGCTTTTACCACGAGACAAGCGGAAATACCTTCTTAGAGGGCATCCACAGTTCGCGTTCATTTTCGAATTTTGTTTTCTTAATGCTATTGTAATTCAGATTTCCCATACTTGTCTGTATACTTATACATGAAATTGTTGGGGCGTTTTCAAAGAAAATATATGCTTCATGAGGTTTGCATTATAATCCTGATTTACTCAACTATTAAAGAACTTAGGAAACTACTTGCTTATTTCTTCGATCCTGCAAACTGTAATGAATTGTCATCAATATTTTTATTCAGCTATCTGAGAAGGCCCACTTCTTGTTCAATGGATGATGGCATTTGAGCAGATACCAAAAAAGGATTGGTACAGCATTCTGGGGGCAGACCCATCTGCAAGTGTGTCAGACCTAAAACAAAAGTATCAAAAACTCATATTAATGGTGAGTCTTTTCTTGCAGATTTAAATCATGGGGGAGTAAACAGGTTTTTTTTATGTGGCCTGAGATTTAGGTTTCTATAAGATGAATGGGAATATCAAAGCAGGAATTAGGGTATTAATGTGATTAATTGAAAGTTTCAGTAATATTGTAAAAAAAATTTTTTTTTTAATTTGAGGTGGGAAAACATGGTGATTTGGAGCAGGAGATCTTAGTCGTGCTGGTTGATTTAGAATCCTGATTCTACCACTAATTGTGGGAACTTGGGACAAGTTACTTTCCTCTGTATGTGCCTCAGAGAGAATTAAATGAAATAGTCCAAGTAAAATGCTTAGAAGTATGTCATGTAATAAGCAGTGTTAGTATCCAGTAGCCACTAGCTACATGTGTCTATTGAGCACTTGAAATGTGGCTAGTCCAAAATGAAATTTATTATAAATGTAAAATACATTTGAAGACTTAATATAGTGGGCGCCTGGGTGGCTCAGTTGGTTAAGCGACTGCCTTTGGCTCAGGTCATGATCCTGGAGTCCCGGGATCGAGTCCCACATCGGGCTCCCTGCTCAGCGTGGAGTCTGCTTCTCCCTCTGACCCTCCCCCCTCTCATGTGCTCTCTCTCTCTCATTCTCGCTCTCTCAAATAAATAAATAAAATCTTAAAAAAAAGAAAAAAAGAAGACTTAATATAGGGGCGCCTGGGTGGCTCAGTCGTTAAGCGTCTGCCTTCAGCTCAGGTCATGATCCCAGGGTCCTGGGATCAAGCCCTGCATCGAGCTCGGTGCTGGCTGGGGAGCCTGCTTCTCCCTCTCCCACTCCCCCTGCTTGTGTTCCCTCTCTCGCTGTGTCTCTCTCTGTCAAATAAATAAAAAAAAAAAAAAAGTATAAAAAGAGAATATAAAATAAGGTAAACTTTATGGTGATGACATCTTGAGGTGATAATATTTTGTGTTTTTTGGTTATTTTGCATATTTTGTACATAATTATATGCACATATATTTTCATATAGTGTAATTATCAAAATGGATTTAATTTGCTTTTTACTTTTTTAACAAAGCATATGTGGCTTACATTTATAGTTTGTGTTATGTTTTTATTGAATGGTGCCAATTTAAGCCATTTATACACTGTTTCATGTGACTCCATTCTTCGGTGAAATGAGTTGTGGTATTTATATAGAATCTTTCTGAACTGTTACTTTAATTTTTTCAACCTATATTGTGATGTGTCTTAAATCAATATCAGTAACTCTATAATGGTTTCCCGTTAACCCAGTTTACAAAAGGGGTAGAGGACCATTACTTATACAGCATTAGTTGTTTCTGTAGTTTTTGTCAAATAGATCTGAGATTTTGCCAAAACTGTTAGTGTTTATTGTGAGAGATGTGGATGTTTTACCATTAGGAATGTATTAATATCACTTCTTTAGGTAATAGTTGACTAAATGATGTTAAGATTTATTTTATCTCAGAATTTTTAGGATTTCTCTCAATAAAATCAAGTAGACTTGATTGAAAATTTTTTCCTACTACTGAATCATACTTGTGCCTCATTTAAACTGAGAGATGAGGCTGGAGAAGTAGACTGGGTCTAGATAATGCAGGCCTTGTAGGCCACGTTGACCTTTAATTGGGCAAGGAGAAGCCATTTACATTTAATATGGTAGCATCTGTCAAACACCAAAGTGAATCAATCATTTTGCATACCCTTCTGTAACATATCAGAGTTCCATTTGCTCTAAATCCTCACCAACATTTGATGCTATTTGTCTCTTTCATCTATTGGGAGTTTCTCAGTTTTGCCACCATTGACATTTTGGACAGGATAATTCTTTGTTATGTGGGGCTTGTTATGTGGGGCTGTGCTGTGCCTTGTAGGATGTTTAGCAACATTCTGGATGCCCGTAACAACTAAAAATGTCTCCTGGTGGTCAAAATTGTAAACCTCCCCATCCCATTGAGAACCACTGCACAATTCTGTATTTATAGTGATCTCTCAAGTGGTTTTATTTTGTATTTCTCTGATTAATGATTGTAAGCACTTTTAAATGTTATTATTAGTCATTGTATAATTATCTTTTCTGAAGTGTCTTTTTAAAAAATTAAGTACATTCTTGATCTTGTGTATACATTGTGTATATTTTCTCCTAGGTGGTTTTTGATAAGCAGAAGATTTTTGTTTTGATGAAATACAATTTATCACGTTTGTTTTTTGATTACTGGTTTCTGTGTCTTTAAGAAGGTCATGAAAATACTGTTTTTTTCTATAAACTTATAGTTTGCTTTTACCTTTAGACCTCTGACTCTTGTGTATGGTGTGAGGGGGGAGGTCATGTTTTTTTTTTTTCCCTCAGTATGGATATCCAACTGTTCACTTACTGCAGAGATTTTCTTCTCTGCATTATATTGTCAATGTCTTGGCAGTGAGGGTTTATTTCTAGATTCTATTTTGTTTGGTATATTTGTCTGTCCTTTTACTAATACCTCTGTCTTGTTTACTATAGTTTTATAGTCTGTTTCAAAGTCATGTGAAGTTAAGTTCTCTAATTTTATCCTTCTTTTCAAGTTTATTTTGGTTATTTTAGTTTGCTTGCATGTCCATAGCAATTTAGAATCAGCTTCTAAGTTTCCATGTAAAGAAATCCTGCTTGAATTTTAATTGTGACTGTATTGAATATATATCCATTTGTCGGGATGGACATTTAACAATATTGTGTCTTCTAATCCGTGAATATATTATGTCTTTGCATTGCATAAATTATCTTTAATTTCTCTGAGAAATATTTTAGAACTTCCAGTATAGTACTACATTTTGTATTTATTTCTAGTTTTTGGTGTTTTTGGTTCTATTGTAAATAGTATTTTACAATACCGGGGAGGAAGAGAGAGGAGAGAGAGAGAATCTCAAGCAGACTCCGTGCTGAGCATGGAGCCTGTCCTGTTGTGGGGCTTGATCCCACAATCATGAGATCATGACTGAGCCATCCAGGTGCCCCAGAAGTATAGTTTATTTTTATATATTGACCTTGTATCCCACAGTCTTGCCAAATTTGCTTTCTGGTTGTCTCAAAGCTGTCTTTGTAGATTCCTTCAAATTTTCTATCAGCACAGTTATGCCACTTGCAAATAAAGAGAGCTTTGATTCTTTCTATAATCCATATGCCTTATATTTCTTTTTCTTGCCTTAATGCACTAGTTATGTACTTCTATTATAGTGTTCAGTTGAAGTGGTGAGAGGAAATATACTTGTGTTGTTCCTGATTTTAGGGAGGTAACCTTCAGTATTTTATCATTAAGTATATTATTAGCTCTATGTTTTTTTAGATGCCATTTGTCAGGTTGGGGATATTCTTCCTATTCCTAGTCTGCTAAGAGTATCTATCATGAGTGAGTATTGAACTTCGTTAGTTGTTTTTTTTCCATTTATTGAAGTCTGTATTATTATTTTTCCCCCTTTATATGTGCTGAATTACATTGATGTTTCTTATGTTAAACCATTTTGCATTCCTAAGATAAACAAATCTCATTTGTGCATGAAGTATTATGCTTCTTATATATTGCAGGATTCCAGTTACTGTTATTTTATTAATGATTTTTATGTCTAGAGTCATATATATTCGTGTAATTTTCTTGTATGTCTGTGTCTAAATTTAGTATCACGGTTATGTTGGCCCCATACAATAATGGGGGAGTGATTCCCATTTCCTCTCTTTTCTGGAAGAGTTTGTGTAAGAATGCTATTTCTTTTTTAAAAAATTTAATTGAAGTTTAGTTGACGTACAGTGTTATATACTAGTTTCAGATGTATAACATAGTGATTAGACAATTCTGTACATTACACAGTTGCTTACCACTGTAAGTATAGTTACCATCTGGCACCGTACAATGTTACTATTATTAACTATACTCCGTACACTGTATTTCTCATCCGCTTGACTTATTTTATAACTGGAAGTTTGTGCCTCTTAATCCACCCCCTTTTTTTTTTAAGATTTTATTTATTTATTTGACAGAGAGACATACAATGAGAGAGGGAACACAAGCAGGGGGAGTGGGAGAGGGAGAAGCAGGCTTCCCTGCGGAGCAGGGAACCCGACGCAAGGCTCGATCCCAGGACCCTGACGCAGGGCTCAATCCCAGGACCCTAGGGATCATGACCTGAGCTGAAGGCAGACACTGAACGACTGAGCCACCCAGGCGCCCCTCTTAATCTCCTTCATCTATTGTGCCCATCGTCCCCATTCCTCTTTCCTCTGGGAACTACCAGTTCTGTGTATTTGAATCAGTTTCTGTTCATTCATTTGTTTCTAGATTCTGCATATAAGTGAAATCATACAGTATTTGTCTCTCTGACTTATTTCACTTAGCATAATACCCTCTAGGTCCATGTGTGTTGTTGAGAATGGCAATATTTCATTCTTTTTTTATGATTGGGTAATATTCCATTATTTATATACTACATCTTCTTTATCCATTTGTCCAATGGTGGAAACTTAGATTGCTTCCATATCTTGGCTATTGTAAATAATGCTGCAGTAAACATAGGAGTGCATGTATCATTTCAAATTAGTGTTTTCATTTTTAGGGGGTAAATATTTTAAGAATTTATCCATTTCATTTAAGAAGTCGAAGTTATTATCGTAATGTTCATACTGTCTCCTTATTAGCCTCTTATTACTGAAAGATTTGTAGTGATGTTTTCATTTTCATTCTTTATATTGGTAATTTGTGTTTTCTATTTCTTTTTTCCTGATCAGTCTTGCTAGAGATTTGTAGTGATGTTTTCATTTTCATTCTTTATATTGGTAATTTGTGTTTTCTATTTCTTTTTTCCTGATCAGTCTTGCTAGAGGTGTAGACATTTTTTAAATCTTGGCCAAGAACCAACTTTTACTTTGTTATTTTGTATTGTTTGTCCATTTCTCTTTACTTGATTTCTGCTTTTAATTTTATTATATCCTTTTTTCTACTTTTCTTTTTCTAGCTTATTAATGAAGAAAATTACATC